ATGGACTGTTCCTCCGGACCGTGGCTCCACTCTCCCCTCCCAGGCAGGTCAATGCTCAGTCGCCTATCTGTTCCACTATTGCCTTCATCTCTCTGTCTCTACCTTCAGTAGCCACCATCACCACCGACCAGACCAGGAGTGACCCAGCCTACGCAGCTCGGCCCAGCTCTCCATCTCCTCGTCTCCTGCTGTTGGTCAACACCCGGCTACTACTCATCGACAGGACTACGCACTATTTCCCTCTGTGCATTTTGTTATTTCTCCTCATCACTGTACATAATAAATCACTGCTTGCACCGAAGTCGGCTACCTGGGTCTGCCTCTTTCTCGTGGGCTCACTGACAGGTGCGAACGGCACATAACAATAGCTCTGTTGATAAATATTGAAGTACACAAGGTTAACCATAGTGTGGGAGGGATGTTAAAGATGGTGCTATTGTTTTAGAATCATAATTACATTTAAAAATATTTCATTACAAAATAAACTTGTATTTGTATTGTGCAACAAAATTCTTTTGGTTTGTTAACTCTTTCTGTGACAACAGCTGGTGCAGCTCTAACTATTCATTACTGGGATTATGAGCCTAACATATTGTGTTTGGTGTAGTTCTCTGCAGGCTCTGCCAGAGAACCACCTACAGATGACACCCACATACTGTATTCTTACATAGAGAAAGAAAGAGGGAGGTGAGGAGAAGCAGGTAGAAGAAAATGAGCTGAGAGAGAAATGACATTTAAGTCTCACAGCAACAAAAGGGTACAAACATCTCACTAAGAGGGCATGCAGGTAAGCAGACACATTAGAAAGGTCATATTCAACTGCCTTTGAAATGTTTCCCAGACATAATTCACACAGGTTAGAACTGATAACTCTCTATTAGATCAGAACACATTCAGACAGCTAAATGGAGACCAACATGGAGTCTGGAGGCAAGTTACATAATTCAACTAGAAGACCTCAGATGATAGAAGAGACTTGATCTGATTTGATCAGGTACAGTATATTTCACGTTCTCACCATCAGCAACTGCTTATGTGGTGCCATCTACTGGAACGTTAGTCACACTGCAGGCATTTTATTTACTTTCATTTTTCAACTTCAAAATGAAATGATTGTTTATTTCCACTGGTGTAAATATGCCTATCACTCCTTAATTTCAAATTCTTCTAACTGGACTGTTATTGCCTAATAAAGTGACATACTGTAGAACTGACTTAGATCGTGCATTTTCTATGATGCTGGATTTCTAAAGAAAACTCAAAAAGATAATCCATGTTAGGTGTACATACAGAAACACACACAGACTCTGAAGTGAACTGTACATGCTTGAGAATTACTGGATTTGAAACTTAGTCATGGCATGTGAACATGAAGATATATTTTCAAAGGTAAATTACCTCCTCTCCTTCAGCAACTTTCATCTTTTAACCCTTGGGCCTCAGCGAATCTGGGTTCCTATGCAGCATCCTTCGGGTTATATTAACCTGCTTGATCTCACTGAGCAACCCCCTCTCCTCCAACAGTCATGAATAATCAGTGAAAACGACCAACATTGCTGTGATTTGCAGATCCTAGTATAATTTTGTAATCATCTGGAGACTGTTACATTGTGTTTGCTCATGTTAATGAAAACGAAGACATAAAAACAGTCTTTGAAAAAAATGAAAAGAAAGAGAAGCTCTAAAAGTAAAGCAAAGCTAAACAAAGGTAGAGAAAAGTGAAAGCTTTAAGACTAAGTGCAGTATTAAATCATTATGTTCATCCAGGTTGAACGATGAGTCCTCTGAAGGCCTTGTGAGCTTTATTACTCACACTGACAGATTTATATCTCACTAACCTTACTAATTGTTTTGCAGTAACACTGCATTGAATGAATCATCTTCATACTTGGTGATTCTTTTTCATTGGTGATTATTTCTGTTTCCCTTTTGCTTAAAATGCAGCAATCCATTTGAACATTGTCAAAGACAGGTATACTCATTTCCCTGCACAAAAAATAAAGCAATTTATACAGCATACTGTTGTGCAGCTCGTCTCTGATTGTACATGCGCTGCCACTAGAGGGCGATATGCACCAGCATGGTCACGCATTAGTCTGCAGTCAGCTTGGTACGGAGCCCAGCAGGGGACATACAATATGAGGGGGATAAAAAAAAGATGCAAGACTTTGCAGACACATATGTGAACTACTGAGAATACTTTTGCGAGATTTTGCAAAGTCTTGCTTTTTTTCATCCATGGATTGTTTTTTCTCATCTCCTCCCAGGCTAGCTTGGTGGGACCAAAAAAAAAAAAAGAAAAGCAATTATGACATGAATATCATTAACCACCACTTAGCATCCTAACATCTTTAAACCCCACTGTCTTAAAAATGCAAAGTGATTACTCAGCAGTTTCTCTTAAACTCATTGAATACATGTTTTCTTTCTGTTTACAGTGTTATTAGTTTTGTGTTGTACTCACAAACCAGCGGCACTGTGATGATTATTGTACAGAAAACAAAACTGAAAAAATGTATCTAAACATCTAATTAATTAGAAAATAGGTGAAAGTCAACAAGAAAAGCTACATAAAAACAAATCAATGCATGGGATCCACAAAAAAAAAAACAACAAAATAAAGATTTGTGCTGTTGGTTGTAGCTATGACGCACAAAATAAAGTTGGTTGCTGCTACATTGCTCATTTGAACCTTTGACAGTAATTTAGATAAGAGTGTTAAATATAAGATAATCAAGGCAGCGTCTCTCCTAAAATTATACTTTGTACTGCTGAGGTGCAATTACAAAGCACTTTAAAATAGCTTTAGTAAAATATGCCAGGTCCCTTTTAGTAAGACAAAGTGTGTACTGTGCCATACACAGCCAAGAAGAGGTGTGGTCAGCTGAGGGAAGGAAACAACAATGACAGTCAAAAATATTAGAAGGTAAACATTATTTTAAGTCTTTTTTTTCAGATGATTGGTTTAGGTGCAAAATGCTGTGGTGTGTTGCCTTCTATATGGCAGGAGCAGCAGCAACACTGTCTGCAACGTGTGCTGAATTTTCCTGCTAGCACCTGAGAATTTTATTATCAAAATGTCTTTTTTTAAATAATTAAAGTTTATGTACTATATCTGGATAATTTTAGTCACCCTGAGGAAATCAAGCATTGAAGCAAATATAATACAAATATAGAAAACACTGTTGTCCCAGTGCTTTGAGATTAAAGTTGTGATTGTCTCATTGCTAAAATTTTTTGCATTCACTCTGGCTGTGTTGATTTGTTTCACCAGAAACCAGAAAACAAACTTGCAGTACTGAATGTGTACTGGATCTAAAGCGAATGCCGATCATCTCCTGTGACTGTGTCCCTCCTGGAGCTCGATGAAGCTTCCTCAGGCATCATATACCTATCAAGGCCCAGAGGACAAGCCGAGAATGAAATCTGGGGCTGGAATGAGAACTCAGGCTGTAAAAAGAACGCGTCTAGGTGAGTAAAGAGAGAGGACAGGGGGCATTCTGGGGAGGTGTACTTGGCTAACACCTGGAGCTGCTCTGGCTGAAGGTTGGCCTCGTTGCAGACCCTCTGACATAAAGTAGAGACACTGTGACATGTTTTCAGCTTCTGCTGGCTGAGCTGGCTCTTCTCCATCATTAACTTCTCCCTCTCTGTCTTCTGTGACATACACATGCAGTACACACAAACCGATTAACATGATTGTAAACAAGCGGGTTTATAAAAAGGAACTGACTTAAAAACAATTTTTACCAGTTTGTGGATTTCACATTGCAGATTGTGTATGCAATCTAGTTTCCTCTTCCGGCAACGCTGAGCAGCCAGGCGGTTTTTGCTGCGTCGTCTCATATCTTGGACAAACTCCAGCTGTTCGTGCGTAAGGACCTGTTGCCTCAGCAGCTGCTGGAAGTCATTTCTGCTCAGATTCACAATCCAGTCTACAGAGAATGGCAACTGCACCTGAGGACACCCCAAAAAATAAAAATTACACAAGCAAAACAGAGTTTATCAATAAAGAAAAAAGCTTATTGACAGATGGAGCCAAAGTTCATGCTTTTTGTATTGATTTTTTTTTTTCACGTGAGGAAGACTAGATTATTAAAAATGTATGTTTTGCTGAATCACATTGGCGAGACTGAAGGCACTCAGATAACCTGCAATATAGTGCACATACACTTCAGAGCAGCAAAAAAATGTCTGATTTTCTTATATAAGAAATACTCAACATTTCAATTCCACATTTTAATGATAAAAATCTGTGTGGAATAAATGGGCAAAAGGAAAATAGTTAAGAAAAAGTCAAATTGGATTTGGAGCTGAGATGGTTTTTATTTTAAACAAAGCAGTTAATTATTAACACGGAGCTGAAACCAGAGCTCAGGTATTGGTTTACTGCTGCTGCAAATGTGTGACAGGAAATCTACACTCACCAGTTTACTGGAGCAGTGTAAACTCTAAGAGTGTGTTTTATCTCGTGTAATTCTAACCACTTTCCCCCCTTGCATTGACCTTATCTTTGCTTATACTGTATACTCGCTGTTCATACTTCCACCCAAATCTACTGTAAATACTCAGCCTGAACTGTGCCCTGTTGTTTGTGTTGCCTGTAGGTCGTGCTAACTCAACAGGTCGAGGTGTCAAGTTCCGCTGAGTTAAACTCTGATCAAATTAATAATTAACTTGCCACTGCAGTGATCCTACTCTCTGTTACATGAATGCAAACGCCCATATGCATCTGCTATAATGTACCTGAAGCTCTTATCTAAAACAAGACTATTGAAATAATCTACAGGTAGGGTGAATTTGCGGGTTCATTTCAGAACTACAGTACATGAACTACAGTTAGGTGGCAGGAGGACTTGGTTGAGACTTGACTCATAATTCAGCTGCTCACCTGCCTGGCCCTCTCTCTTGTGTAGGACTCACTCTCTCCTTCTGTTTCTGTCTCTGAGTCTCCGTCCTCCCCTGAGTTAAAGGATGACACACCGGACTGAGAAGCCCCCTCGCTCTCAGCCAGCCCTGATCCCTTCCATAAACATTTGCTTTGGTCCAAATCCTGGAAAAATGGGCAGGAGCTGGAGCCGAGGTTTACGTGGAACTTCAGCCACTCTAAAGATGTGCTTTGCACCTGTCCACTCCCAGTGTCAGAGGGAATTCCTGCATCAGGGTCCTGGAAGTTTGGCTGAGACAAGCCCACATCAGACCACTGCTGCATTGCCAGGTTCTCAGCCACCTCCCTTTCCATAATGTCCCTCGGTCTGGTATTATTTGTTAGCAGGGCAACTCTCTCCATGGTGCCTGTTTGTCCGCTTTTCCCTCCTTCACGACAGGCATGATCTGCCCTTTCCACCTCATTTTCTGTCTGTTCCTCTTCCTTTTGCTGAATGGACACTGATTCTTGTAAACCAGAATCCCTTGTTTTCTTGTCCTTTTTAGAGTCAGTGACAAATCCCTCTTGGTCCAGAGACTTCGTGATTACAGAGTCCTTGGTTAAGGCCCTCGGAGGACAGTGAGCCAGTACTAACCCAGGTGACCTTATACACAACCCTCTGCTGGGCCCCAACGAGACTGCCTTAACATTAGATCTTGCTGATGAACTGACTCCAGCTGTGTGCTCCATTTCTTCTTCCTTTCTCATAATATCAATCTCTCTTTCCTTCTCATTCAATTTTCCCTCTTTTTCATCATTTGTAACCATATGAACCTCCCCTCCGTCTATGGCATCCTCTGTTTTCTTGTCATGTATTTCAGTCTTCCGTGGCTCATTAGGTTCCCTTTGCATCTGTGTGGTGGAATCTGAAGTTGAATTTCCAGGGAATTCAACCTCAGTTTCATTCTTACTCTTCGTGCTGCTGGAGAAGGGTAAGCAGGATAGGTCATAGTCTCTCCTGATTACTGTTACGGGATTGTTCAGACTTTTTGCTATGGGACAACTTTCCTTCCCACAAGCCAGCTGGAACTTGCGATACTTTGGACACTGTATAAAAACATCATTTGTGTCTTCTGCTACAGGTATCAGGGTGTCTGTACTGTTCTGACTTCCCATTTTGCTGTTCACTGAGTTGTTACAGAGCGAAGCCACTTCCTGTTGAGATGACGAGTCAGCAACTGGTTTTACTTCTTTCTCATCCAACAATATATCTTCAGAGTCTATGCCATAGTTTTCTTTTGATAATTGCCTTTTGCATTTTTTCTTACAGCAGATCTTTCTGGGAAAAGCCGCAGAGCCCTTGCTGCTGGAGAAGAACTTAGGGAGCAGGAAATCAAAGCATCCCTCATCTAGGTCTCTGAAACCAAGAATGGAAGCTGAGTTACGTATTTCTAAGACGTCATCTTTCTTAAAGAGTAGCTTGGATGTGTAGGCAAAGTTCAGCAAGGGTTCAAAGCCAGCGACTGTCACCTGTGAAAAAGGGCAAATGCCATATATGAGCTAATTAGTTTATTCTCAATGACAGCAGGAGGTAATTTTATTATATATTCTGTCAGATAATCAGTGCATATAATAATGTATGCCCAAGGAACATATAGTAAAGCCCAGATTTCCAGGACTTCACTTTTCTGTGACTTTAGCAGCTTCTTAAGTTGAAGTAAGGATAAAAGTAAATAAGATAAGAGATCTGCTAAAACAGTAAAAAAATTCAGAAATGCTGACAGTCAGACAGGTCAGACACTTCTTGTTTTTTTTTCTTAACTTCCCACAAAGCCCTGCTGAAATTCATTTTGGCATTTTATATATATACAGTATTATATATCCTACATGGATCTCTCTACTGGTGGCAGAGTGAAAACCACTGAAAATCACAAATATTTTTAGGTTGATAAGAATAAAGTAAGTAGTAAAGTACAATAACCCTTCTGCATTTTGACTAGATATGGTTAAACAGCACAAACAATTACCCAAGTAAATAAAATAAATTTCCTACAGTATGTTAAACCAGCAGCTTTGTTACTGAGAGGTTATTTGTACGGCATTGTGAGGTGACATCTCACCTCTTGTGGCAGAGTGATGATTGCGCCATCCTGTGAGAGAGAGGAGATCCTGTGTGTGAAGTACTCACAACAGGAAGCGAGTACTGAGCGGTGGGCTCTGAAACTCTGGCCCTCCACCACCACTGTAATATCACACAATGTGTCCTGCCAACGCTGCTCATCCAGGCAGCGTAGCACATGGGAGGAATGCACTGTGGACTCAAACGTAAACACAGAGGACCGGGAAGCAGACACGGCCATCAGGGACACCTACATGTACACAAAAACACAAACACTCTTACAGTTCCCTTCTATCACAAGACATACTGTAAAAAGTTGTATATGAACATAGTGAGAAAACAGCCTATCTTCCACAGCTGACTTTATATATCCAAGTTTCTTAGAGGTTAAAATAAAGTCCCAACATGATTATTTCTAAATGGAATGCTGTCCAACCAGACTACGTACCCTTTGCAGAAGGTCTTATCTCACCCCAGTTACAAACTAAGAACTGAGCTTGACTCAGTCATACAGTCTGTGTGCTAGTATGTGAGAAGGAGGGAGGGATAGAGGGAGTGTGTGTGTGTGTGTGTGTGTGTGTGTTGCAACAGCTCTGGGTGTAACAGAGCAAGCGCTGACTCATGCACTCCTGTGGATAAAGGATGAGCAAGCAGTTTTCCCGTCCATAACAATCCCACCCTTGAATTTATCAAGTAAACCAACAAGCTTTTCCCGGAAAATCCTTTTGTAGATTTACCCAGAATACATTTCAAAAGTTGGTAAAAATTAGGAAAGTAAACCTAGAGTTTTATCTGACGTCTGTACCTCTAGATTCAAAGTAAACTTACTCAGCAAACTGCAGGTGAAGATGAGAAAAAGTTGTGTAAAAACAGAGTGAATAAACAAATTAAACTGACCTGTTGTGAGGAGAGGGAGGCTGTTATGTTAATTTAAGGGTTAATATTTCTCAGTAGGTCCCCATCTTCTCATGGGTTGTTGTTTTTCCAGGTAGCAGCTAATCCTTCTGCTAGCTCAGTTTAAGCATTCTTTGCTGTGTGTGTGAAATGTCCGTCAGAGAGAGAGAGAGGGAGACGGAGAGAGAGAGAGAGAGAGAGAGAGAGAAAGAGAGAGAAAGAGAGAGAGAGACCATGCCCTGCTAGCAGAGAAACCATAGGTTAACAACTGTAAAGTAGTACCAGCACATAGAGGAACATTCACATTGCCATAAAAATGGTGCAATGAAAAAGTGACTTGTATAAAAAAAAAAATCATGCATTAAAAGCTGAGCTATCAGGAAGTAAAGTATAACAGGGTGGAATAATAATCACTACAAAGAACTGTTTGCCAGTGTCACATGTATTGAAGGAGGAAGAGGGGCTCCAGACTGAAGCTGGCCAATCAGGTGACTGCTTCATATGTCCAGAATGAGCTAATCTCCTCATGAAGAAAGACAATCTAGTTCCCTTTTCCATGTAAGTGCCGCAATATTATGATAACACACAGTAAACACAACAGCAGCAGCCTGGAGAAATGAAACTACAGTAAGGAACTGATGCTGGTGTTAAAATAAAATGCATTTTATTGTTAGATGAGAACTTTAAGCAACAGCTTGTGTCTTGTTGTATACTTCCCCTTCTACAGGTGACTGAGACATATTGCATCAAAAATATACAACGCTTTTGTGTCGCAGCAAATAGGTATTGTAAAATCACTCATTATTTTGCTGTTTGGCATGAACAGCTGTAGTTCCCCGATCCCTAACACTGGGTTAAACACTCATCACTTTTCCTTTTCACCAAAACAGACTTGGGGTGGCAGAGAGGAAGAAAGAGGGGGAATACTCCTCAAAATACAACATTTGGACCACATCATACCACCCTGCGCTCCCTCCACAAACCTCAGTTAATTAAAAGATCTGAGTCTCCACAGGACCTGAGACAAATATTAGAACATCTGGTCAGATTCACAACAGCTGACATGATATGAATACATGCTGTGAGGTATTGCAATGGCAACCAGCAAAGTTCTGCAACATAACAGAAGAGTACTCAGAAAAGTGGCCTTGTGTCATAGCTTGGTAGATCACTGTAACAACTTCACACTGATGATGACAGTAAGTCTCAAACAAATGACTCAGACATGAATAAACACAGTGCCTTTGTTGGTAATTAAATGATTCACCGACTGTAATTTCGCCAGTGAGCACTTGCTGAGTTTTTCTTTCTGGTTGGTATCAGCTGGATGTCTGGAGGTCTCAAGTTCTGCGGAGGTCAGAGGTCACGAGGAATCCTGCCTTGTTTGATTGGGCAGGCAGAGCCTCTCCAGCTGCTGAGTGCGCTCGTTGTGGACAGTCACCAAGTTGCGGTTCTCCTCTGTTAGACGCAGAAACTCCTCCTCTAAACGGGCGATCTCCACGGCAACCTGCTCATCCTCTACCAGCTCTGCTAGCAGCTTACGCCTGCATGGATGAGTGAGATCAAAATTTTTACAGCAGGCGCAAATTTTTATTTTAATTTAAGAAACACCCTTTCAAAATGAATAATTTCTCTAAAATATTGGCTTGACTATTCCTGTTTTACCAGTTATAAAAAAAAATGGAGGGGGGGAAAAACTGGAGAGTGTGCCAGAAGACAGCAGGGGGAACATAACAAGTTCCCATTTCAGAGAAAGACATATTTCCAGACTATCACTCACATTCATACTCATGAGCATGAGTCTCCAGCTGTGTGGTTTAAGCAATGTAGGAGGAAACCACAAGGACCAAAATAACTCTGGAATCAATGCAAACTTACTGGAAGGTTTGTACTTAGAAGAAACTGATCCCGCTTGTTGTCAGGCAACAAAGCTATCCACTCTAGTATTAGTAAATAATAATGCACAGCCAAATACAATATAATATTCCAGATAATCAGAATTTTTCTTTATTTTTAAGTAGATAAGCATAGTATCTAATGAAAAACAGCTACAGATTGGTGCCTTTTGTGCATCAGAATTTTCACTAAATGTCATCAGTCAAAGATGTACAGATGCACATAATACATTAACATTGGCTATAAAGAGAGGCTTAATAATTAAAAAATAGTTGCAGGGTTCACACTCTTAATTCCAGGCTTTATGAAAGAGAATGTTGAATGCATGTAGCCAAAAACCATGTCCCACACATGTGCCCACACACTGAGAAAGCAGCAAAGAGGCTCTTCAGATACCAGATACATTTATTACATGTTTTAGAAGTGATACGGTGAAAAATTGTAAATAAAAAGTGACAGGTTCGGTCAGTTTACAGCTTACAGACCCTGTAGTTCTACAGACCTGAATCACATCAGCTGAAAGCCCGATTGCCCGTATATGTTTCAGAAAAGTAGTGTTTTTACAGGTCCTTCACAGTGGGCCCATTTCTGGTGTAAACTCTTTGCATCATGGAGGTTCAGTAATGTCAATATTTGTCTTTATGTTAGTAGAATTCTGTAATAGCTGGAAGGCTTTATGAGTTAAAAGTTAATATACAGATCAGTACTACACTATGAACTTGTTTCAATTCTGACTGATTCAATAAAAAAAACTAACTTCTCATTGTGTTGTTCAGTATCACTAATATCTTATATCCTGTTTTCAGCATTTGAGTAAAAGTACATTTTGTGGTATTGCTTTCACTAGTGACAACTTGTGTCTCAGTTTACTAGAAATGTTTGTCTCTTTCTGTACGTATCCATGGATTCTGGCATTAGTGTGAGAAAACAGAACCAAAAGCTTTTGACTCATCGTGTTCTTATCTGAACTAAAGGCTATACTCAACCCATCAGAGTCTGTTCTCTATTTAAGAGCTTCCAAGTGGTGTGGATTTTGTGTGTACGTGTGTAGGTGTGGTGGGGAAATAGCAAAGGTCCTTGAAAATCCCCTTGCTAAGACCACCCACAGGTGCTGAGGACACGGGGGACAGTGTGCACTGCGTGCGTGTTATACACCACTGCTTATGTGCAAGAATACGCAGTACCATATGTGCACTTGAGCTTACAGCAAGTCTCCCTCAACTTCATCTGACAATTAACGTAGTTAAGGTGCAATTTTACCCAAATATGATTCAGAATCAAGCAACCAAGTAATCCAGTGCACAGACTAACCTTCACATCCACACCCTTCCTTTATATATCACCATGGCTGGTGCCTAATTTAAAAATAATATAAATAATAAAAATACATCTGAAATCAAAGCCATGCATTACCAGCTGCTCAAATATCATCTTAATGGAACTGCTCTCTAGGTCATGTGCTAAATGCTGTAAGGAAGCTTTTAACATGTGCCATCTAGTGGACGTTTTGCTGTCCTATACAAGTGTTGGCGCTAGTGGGAGTCAGAAACCAAATAATTTTAAGTTCCAAACATGCACCTATGTTACAAAAAGTTATTATTATATTAACAAATTCTCATTTGGATTCCTTGAATTTGTGTAATTCAATGGCGTTCAATGGAAAATGTAACCATCTAAGAAATAATTTAATGATAGTGTCAGCTTTTCCTAATGAATTACTGTACATGGAGTCTCTGACCATAAACACTACAGACATACTGTACTAGTACATAAACCTTTGCTGGTCCAAGTAGTGACCCTGGCATGATTTAAACACACAGCTCTCTGATCTGGAGTCAAGCTACCAGCACACCATAACATAATATTTTAACAAATGAATTTTTGGAGCCAGTAAATATGGGGGTAAATTGTTTAGGGCCTTACTTGCGGTCCTCAAGCACAGCAATCTCATGTTTGACCTGGTGGAACTCTCTCGCCATCCTGCAGTGTTCCTTGTACACCTGAACGCTCTCTCTCAGAGACACACAGGGGGGCACTGGCTGTAAGAGGTTAGACAGAAAAGGATATGTGACATTAGAGAGATGCAATATTAGTTTAGGGCAATTTTAAACTGTTGATTAAGAGAACTATCACATCATTCAAGCAACAATACCGCATGTTCAAACTTGGACCTATGGCTCTTCACTTTACCTTCCTTTTTTATACATTCAACAGCTGCAGATCAATGAAACATTGCCATTGCTAATTAATCGGTTATTATTTAATGACCAATCTGGAAAAACATCAAAATGTCAAAATGTCCATCATAATTTCCCAGAGTCCAAGGTCACAACTTCAGAGTATTTTCTGTCATTAACTGTCATAGCTATAGTAAATTACCATTTTCTTGCTAATGTGTTTGAGGAAAAAAGCTGATTTAAATCCATATAACTTTCATGAGACTAATAAATGCTCTGTTTCATAAAGTGGAGGCCTTGTGGCACAATAGTGGTGTGTCTGACTCCAGATCAAAAGGTGTCATGTTCAAGTCATGCCAAAGTCATTAGAAAGCAGCTATCATTATTGGCCTGCCACTGCTGTTCTCAATTGATACTCTAAACCAGCATGCACCTGGCACTGACCCTGGCACCGGCACTTGTTAAAGGATAATTCAATGACAACGCTTAAAGTGAGCACACAGTGAAAACACTGACTTGTGGATAGACTAAACCCAAGCTTCTATTTATATAGACATGCAGTTTAAATCCTAAACAGAAAGAACCCTTAGATGAATAGTTCTGATCCACTCATTTTTTTAAGATAGTGATTCCTAGAACGACTTCTGTGTTTAGCATTCACATGTGACTTAGTTGTTGGAAAGAGCAATAATGATAGCAGTAGTAAACAAAAATATTAAGAATCAAAATGCTTTTAAAAGGGGGAACCCATCAGCATTGTCTTTTTTGATTAGCTGTCAAAAAATATACATTTCCCTCTAACCACAAAACAGAGCCAGGCATGAAATGCCACACGTGAATAGCATTTTTTAAAGAGTGTAGCTGGATTTTAGATTTTCCTTTTTTTTTCCATGCTGTTCTTTACCATCACTTCTCTTCTGTACTCCGCCTCTCCTCCCATGTGCTGCTCTGTCACAACATATGTATTCACTGTACCGGGATGCTACAGTTTGTACTGAATACCTGCAATCGCTGTTCAAGATCCGGGAAAGTCTGAGAGAGGTCCTCACCATCTTTTGCATCTATTACAACAAAACACGTTTCAATCACAACTAAATACTAAAACAAAATAGTTAGGTCATTTATAAAATGTTGAACTAAAAGCAATAAATAAACAGTACAACAATAGTGTAGTACAGCTTATGACACAGGAGTATTAAAATGCAGTGTTGTATATTGGTCAGTGATTCCACCAGCTTAATGTATAATTCTGATGGTTTTGCATTACTACAAACAGCACAGTGTAAAAATACTAACAGCAAGAGTCTCGCACTCATTTTAATTTTTACTTAAGTAAATAGACACAAGCATTAGCAACAAAATGTACAAAAAGTATTATACATAATGGTAATTTTAAGAATGTTGTGTTATTTCTGTATACATTTTATATTATTTGTTATTATTAACAAAGACATTTTGATGTTGTTGTTTATCATGGTGAGGCTAAGTATCTTATATAGCCTACTACTGAGTATTCTATCACAATATATCTCATAATGAGATTTACATTATTGTTTTGTATAACATCATGTTTTAAGTAACTAGTTGCTACAGTAGTGTGATCATTTTAGTGGGGTGAAAAAGTGTTATATTTCCCCCTGAAATGTAATGAAATAACCGTACAAAGCAGCTGAGGATTAAAATGCTCCTATTAAGTATAAGTACAGTTTCACAAAACTGTACCGAATTACAGTACCCGAGGAATTTTACCACTACTTGTTTTCAGATGAACTTGATTTTGATTCATTTCAGTGTCCAGACACCCAAAACTTATGTGAGATACATATTTGGTCAAATGTAGGTTAGAATCCTGTGGTGATGCCGTTGTAAACAGTGACTTCTTTGAAAACATTGGAACATCAGAATTTATCTTTTTACCATTGAAGGACAATGTGTATTGTGTAATTACTTTAGTAAAAAAGGTTTCTCTTTGGCCTTAAAAGTCATTGTGATTGATTACTTTCAACTCTCTGCAAGTAGGTTTTCATAGCATGCTTAATGACTGGCTGCCAGAAAAGCAGGGAAACATTCTGATCCTATTTGAAGAGTAATCTCTGCTTCTTTTGCTATATCCACATTCAATTTGTATAATGACTTCTCAGTCATAATAGTTTCACATTAATATCATTTGCTGAATGCCCTTCATATACAATCAAGGGACTTCTGCTGCAGGCAGTTGGTTTAATGGCTTTCCCTGCCTCATAAAACGGCCCAAAATGAAACAGTATAGGGGCCTCTTACATGACACCACAACATAACAACACAGTGCTACACTTATAAATGAGCCATGTCCCCTTAGTGAACAGCAGTAATGAGCTGTCACACTGAAAGACAAGCAGGGTAAGAATACAGAGGGACAGCTACATGAGCAGACAGACAACCACAGGGGACAGAAAGAACAGACAGGCCAGATGTAGAGTATTGGACAGAGGAGGACTCAGACAGACAAAAACAGGGCATGTTGTCTACACCAGCTCCTGCCTTGCCAGTAATGTCCCTCTAGAGTTGGTGAACAGTTGTGAAGAATCCTGGGATGATGCAACCTTCTAAAAGCAGGAGTATTAGTGGGCCAGCCTGCAGACATGGGGCCAATTATGATGAGTAATATATACACTTCCATGCTTAGGCACAGTCAGGGGTTATAACCATGCCTGGCATAAAGTCATAAAAGGCCTAGAGCATGATCCCCAGAGGGTAGACAGTCCTCAGCTGAGAAACATGACCTCAAAGAGACAACAACATGATTGTCTGGGGAATATCCAAAATTTGATTTTGGAAGTTAGCATCACATTGTGCCTGAATATCTCTGGAACTACAGCTACATGTGAAACTAAAAGAAGACGTGAGCAGTGAGGGGTGTTGGTGGTGGGGGATTTGAGTTTGTTGTTTCTGCTGCAGCCCTTCATCTCAGTTCCTAAGAAAAAGACAAGAGGGGATCAGAAGAGGGTGGAGCAGGACTGGAAGTGTTAACTGCTTATAAATATAAGCCAGTGTTCTAAAAGCTGAACAGTGAATCAGGCAGCAGGACACTGTTAGTATTAGAGGGGAAACCTGACTCTGCTATTGCATAGCTGCAGCTGCTATCCCAGTGCCTGGCCCCAGTGTAGTAAAATATCCTGACTGACAGCACCTAACACTGGTAGGGTAGACCTTTGAATGTGTACCGTATGTGGTGTGTATGTGGAAGAGTTAAGGATAGACAAAGTAAATTGTGCATATTGCACATGCTTGTGAGAGTGCATATGTGCGTTTTGCAAGTGCATGGCTGCCCACATGCATGTACAGTTTATATACTATGGTCCTACAGAAATAGAGAGAGCACCTGTCTCAGCTACAGCACAGGAGAACAAACACTGTTAAAGTGATAGGGTGTGGCGGGGGGCTGCTCCGGGAACATTGTGCCTTCTATGTTTTGGTGGGAAGAATGCTGTGCATGTGTTCCACACATACTGGAAATGCAGTGAAAGTAGAGCTCCTGACGTCTTTAAGTGCTAAACAATAAAGTGAGTAACAGGTGTAGCTACATTTAAATTAAGTTGATACTGTAAGACAAGTGTGTGCGAAGTGACTGTAAACTGTGTGTGGATGGGCTATGTGGGTGTGTGTGCAGTGTGTTTACCTGATGTGTCCTGAAGGCTGAAGGAGATTCTAACTTCAGATTTATCAGGAGACACTCTTCTGGTTGAGGTGATCATTTATCCCTTCATGAAGCCACAGGCACAAAACATAGCTGTTAGCACAATCAAAAGGATCTCATGAAAGATGAGTGATGATTCACTAACGGCACAAATAGTCAAGCAAGTGCATATTGGCAGTCATTTTAATAATCTATTAATAATTTAAGAGGGTTACCATGATTTAAAACATCAGTTTCCAGGATCTTAAATGTGATTATTTCCTGTCATTAATCTATATGACTTTAAACTGACTGTCCACTAATAATAATAACGTAAAAATAATAATAATAATACATTACTGTGGTTTTAATCATAGCATGAACTCAGCAGGGTTCAGCTGAAATGAAAAAACCTGCAGACCCTTTGATAAAGCATATGATTAAACCACACCTTGTAAAGTATTTGGAGCCTTACAAACACAAACACACACACACACACACACTGCCAGCAGTCTGTTTCATCATGCATTTGGAGTGGCAGTGGGATTAAATAATTAGTGAGCTTTGACAGATAGAGTCTGGGGTCGGGATTTGCCATGCCCCTTCCAGTTAAGGTGCAGGCTTTTTATATCAGGGCATTTGCCTGCTTCATCTTTGGCAAATCCTCTGTCTCACACATGATAAATGACCTTCTAAACCAGCAAACAAACACCTTTTTGTGTGTGTGTGTCTAGTTTGTTGGAAATAGCTGAAAGATGGCATTTTGATGTTGCAATGACTGATTAAAACGTGTTATAATAAAATATTACAGTATTAGTAAGTGAAATAACAGTTCCCATATTGTAAGCAGATAATGGAGTAGCCTATATTATGATGGAAAGCAGTATATCCCATTTATGTAGACTATCTCCAATACACATGGATAGCTGAACCCTTCTGGGCCAACAGGTTATTGTTACCTGAAGCAGCACGAACAGACCGAGGAAATTCCGTAAAGTAAAGTTTATAATCGTCCGCAATACTGTCGTGTACTCCACTGCCGAGGTTTCTTCAGAAAAAGCAAAGTTCGCCTCTTAAGTGTCGCGCCTTTACGCAAATCCAGCAACGACGGCACAAGTATCTGTCCAAAAGTTGACCCCCACCTTCCTCTTGAGACTCCAGCTATATTGTTTAGTATTCAGACGTTTTCCACCATAGTTAGGCCGTCCACTACACTAGTGTCAGTCAGCAGCTCAAGCTTGCGTGGGCATGGGCATGTTGTCCACGGACTGCAGCCACGCGCGAAGAGCAACACAACAGGGCGCAGCTAGTGAAGGATGTCCCCCCGTGGCTAGCCGGGTCCAATTAAATGTCTCAGATGACATGACTTTAGCTCGCAAAAATGCCCAGTGTTATGAGTGACACGGTCATGCCGCTGGGATGGTCTCAGGCTTTGCAATAGCTGTGCAATGAGGCAGTTGCTCAGAATGAACATGTAATGCCATAATAGCTCTTGCGAAAGAAATAGTATCCTCGTGTCTGTTTATCTTATGAGGGTAGTTTTTTTGGGGAGATGGGGGTGGGGGATGGATACAGGGTAAACCATCCTAATTGCAGGTGACAGACTTAATCAGTACTTTATTGGAGTTTGCGGCAACTGTCGTACATAATGTGGGCACTTCAACGACTCTGCCCAGTCTGTGAAAACGGTTGTTATGACTTTTGTGGCTCTGAAGAAAGCCTTTTAAAGTCTATGACATCACCGGGGGTTGCAATATATAGACCTGCTGCAGGACATGTTGGATCCAGTGGTTTTGGAGATTCGACTAAGCCATGATTTGTCGACCTCCAATTTTTACAATTATTTTTTAATAAACGTAAAACCCATCATCAGCCCCAGTGCACAGCCATCCCACACATTTGTTACTTGCAGACAGAGGAACTGAATGATTAAGTATTTCTTCATGGGTTAAAAACATATATCAAACCACTGGATTATGTGAAACATACAACACCACAAAGACAAAAATAGGCCTGTTTTGCTTTTATAATAAAAAGCCCATATTTTGTACATAGTTTTTACAGAAGAGCAACAAGTGTCCAAAGTTCCCAAAAACCATCAAAAAATAAGTCTACATATTTCATCTCAACTTGAGAACTAGATGTGGAGTCACAAGCTGCCCTCCATCTGGTCTGTTTATAGGCTGATATAAATGTTTATGACCAGAATACATAATAGACCCCACACATCATCATAATAATAAAGCTAAACTGACCTTAAGCCTTTGAGGATGGCTTTAAAAGAACAAGAGGTATCGTAAATTAGGCCCTACGGTTCTCTGAAAGAATTACTGTCAATGTTGTTGTGGGTTTTCTCATGCTTTGATTTACTGCTGTGATCTCATTTTATACCCACAAGGCCACTTCACCTGCACACCGGCAGATGACAGCATTCCTCCCTGAATTATTTACAGCCAGGCTTTCAAATGGTAGAAGACACAGGGAGATAGAGAGCTAAAGAAACCCAGAGATAAATGATGGTCTGCACCTCCAAGAGTCCTCCTCCTCCTCGTTTGTCTTCATTGACACGCTGTTGACACAGACCTGGCTTATCAGTCCCCGAGACTGTTCATCTCATTGTGATGGATGGGGCACACTCAAACGTCTGCCAATGGTTAAGCCATAGTTTAGATTGGATTCCTCAGTACTTGTATGTACAGCAAAGAGCCTCGTGTAGTGATACATGAATCAGACTTGACAGGTTCGAGGGGATTTATATGTGGTTCAAGACGCACAGAGAGGCAGAAATCCCTCAAGATTATAAGAATTGTACATGTGCTTTCTGATGTAAAATGTATTCCTACAATGCAGCTGGTTCTTTAGAACAAGTTGGTCAAATTTATCCTTTCCAAATTTAGCCCTGCTGAGTCTTCCTGCACTTTGTTGACCTTTCCTGAAAATGAACTGACAAAGGATAGTATACTGACCACTTTGGGCATGTTTAGGGCGTCAGACATTGGGCTCCTTTAGCCATCCCTCTTTCCTACTTTCACTGGATTTTTCTCTCAATTGCATCCTCTTCATTTGTGCAAGAGGTCTAGAAGTATGAGTCATAATCTTTGATGTTGACAACACAAACAGACAAATGCTGTTGTTCGTTTACATCTTCCCATTTCTCCTTCACTTGTCCACCACCAAAGTTGAGAGCTGTGTTTAAAGACTAAAAGAAATAATGGTTTGTGTGGGTGAAAAAAAAGAGTGAACATACAAGTATTGTGCAACAACAGAAGGGTGTTGTAGGTGATTTTATAATCATTCATAATCCTGAATGTATGCTAACAGTCTTTTGTCTGATCATTCACTGAGTTCGAGCTTGAACTGGACACCACAGTCCTGGTCTGATGTCTTTAAACTACACTGAAAAGGTTTCTCTTATCAGGTGTTCAGGTGAGGTCATCTTAGATTAGTAGAGAGGAGGAGGGTCCTGCTCAGTCATACTGGAGGCCAAGGTCAGAGTTGTAATTCATGGCCTCATTCATGAAGGATTAGATAATGATTTAAAAAACTGCCTTTGGTTTTGATTAAGAATTATGGGGTTAGGAGATTACAGACAACCAAACATTATTACACTGGACTGAGCCCAATCCCAGAATTAATCTGAATACCAAAAAAGAGAAAACTCATTACATGAAGAGATTAAGTAAAGCACAGTCCAATTCTCTTGGGAGACACACAAACAAGCACACACAGTCCACTGAGAAATCTCACAACAAAAATTCTGGCTCTAGTAATTTGCCAAGTATTTATATCCATTTACATCTCTCTCTTGTCCTGTTTGAAATGTCATTTCATTAGCTGGGAATCAGAGGTTAGTTTGGAGAGTCCTGACATTATCAATAATGAATCC